TCATTTCACCCCAATCCTCTAGCAGCCACTCTGCCCTATCAGAAAAGCCATCCTCAGCCTGCCACTTACCTGTATCTCCCATCAACATCTTCAGGCCTCCTTTCATAACACCCAGTCTGCATGGACCATACCTCAAGAACTGGTCCTCCACATCACTGCCCTCTCCTCATTCAAATCCCTGCTACAGACTGACTTCCACATCATTTCACCCCAATCCTCTAGCAGCCACTCTGCCCTATCAGAAAAGCCATCCTCAGCCTGCCACTTACCTGTATCTCCCATCAACATCTTCAGGCCTCCTTTCATAACACCCAGTCTGCATGGACCATACCTCAAGAACTGGTCCTCCACATCACTGCCCTCTCCTCATTCAAATCCCTGCTACAGACTGACTTCCACAATGACAGATGTACAAGTAACTATAATTGCATTTGTGTAGGATGATTTGGAATTGCCAGAACAGCACATTTAAAAACAACCAGTATCAATGAGCATGTGTATGACCAGAATGTAAACATCCATCATGATGAGACCACTTTAACTGTTGCTGTTCCCAAATTCTGTTTGTTCTGTCTTTCCTTACCCTCACAAAAAGTAGCTGTTCAAGGCAGTGACCATAACTTCTTTTGAGTTTGCACAGCACCTAGCACATTTAAGATCCTACTGGAAACAAGTTGTCCACAATTTAAATAAAGTATCCATCCTTACTCACAGATGATGCAGATAAAGAGTCAAATTTTGCCATTTGATGTGTGTACTAAAAGCAAACCAAACAGCCAACTCCATCTGTTGGAAATGCTCTTGTACATTAAGCATCGACATTTTTTCAAATCTCCGATTTGAAGATTTTCAAAAGTCCTGTAGAAAGACCCACCCAAGAAGCCAAAGCATCCATAGAGATGCCCTCTGAAGACTGGAAGCCCTCTACAAATGAATGCATGCTATGCACCAAAGATTGCAGACTTAGTATCATTGAACAGCATCAAAATTAGTGAGCACAGTGAACATACCACAGGAAAACCTGCTAAGAGCGACCACCCATCAGAATTAGTAAAAGTGGTTGTTTGTATAACGTGGTCTATCTTCAAACGTTGCCATAGCAGACACTGGTAATTCTGGGACCTCTGCAAGTAGTCTCTTGTGACAGGTGATCAATCTTCAGAGGTAGTCTCTAAAGCAGCTTTTACTGCTTATAAAACATTCAATAACTGGCTACATTTAAATGAGAGAAAACCTTGTCACTGATTTAATTGTAAAGTCTTTTACCAGACCAAAGGGCAGCTAGTAATTCTGACACTGGGAATCAGCAGCAGGGTCACTAGAATGGAGGAGGTTAACCTTGGCACAATGTGACAGCCAATGTGTTGCATATGGGATTCAGACAGTGCAAGCAAAATGCAATGTAATGAAAAGGCTGCACACAGTTAAGACTCCTAGCAGCTCTAGTAATGCGGTTAAATTAAAAAAGCAAATACTTAGGCCGCTAAAGAGCACTTTGCCAGGTATTTGTGTTAAATGTGTGAGATAACTATTGGGTGGCAGGTCACACTGTTAAAATGTATATTTGGCACCTCACAAAGTAACTCCATAAAAGTGCCACTGGTCTGGAAAGTTAGCTGAGTCTTGACAGGTATTCTAAACAAGAATCAGATTACATCTGACATTCCCACTCAGTCTGCTGCAAGATTAAATGTTTAGTTTAAATTAAGTTTAAAAATTCACTCTTCAGCGATGTTTACTTTCCGTAGCCAATCCCCGGAGCTGGTAGCAGCCGCGCAGACAGGGTGGCTATACCTCCAGGGGGGCAGAGAGCATTTGAGAAACTATTTTTGGTCAAGTGTCATGCAATGTTAGAACTTTTACAGTCTTCCCAGGGAAGATGGCCTCTTTTCTGTGTGTGTGTGTGTGAGAGAGACCTGTTCACCAAAAGTCATGCTGTCTGCACTTCCCATCACCAAGCACTCATTTGGTTATCAGCAACATTTCAGACCTCTTGAGATTAATGACTGTTGCCATGTAAACAGTGTTTTATAATGGGAAGAAGGAAATACCAGCAGGACAGTGCACAAAGTAGAAACCAGGGAGAGTTCCCGATGCTGCGGGTGCCACATGATAGCGGTGGTTTTCAGCGCAGTTTCAGTATGGGCAACACCCTGAGAGCAGTCATTGCCTTCATCCCTTCTGACGGCTGCCAGAAATACCTTCTGGGCAACCTGGAAGAGATGCCAGTTGACCGAATGGTGGATCTGAGCGGCAGGCAGCTGAGGAGATTTCCTTTGCACGTTTGTTCTTTCCGGGAGCTCGTCAAGCTGTACCTGAGCGACAATAACCTGCACCAGCTGCCGCCGGAGCTAGAACAGCTGCAGAACCTCCAGATCTTGGCCTTAGATTTCAACAACTTCAAAGCACTGCCCCCGGTGGTGTGCACCCTGAGGCAGCTGTGCATCCTCTACCTGGGCAACAACAGGCTCTGTGACCTGCCCCAGGAGCTCAGCCTCCTGCAGAATCTCAAAACCTTGTGGCTCGAGTCCAACTGCCTGCACCACTTGCCCGAGGTGGTGTGTGAGCTAAGCCTCCTCAAGACCCTGCACGCCGGCTCCAACGCCCTGCGCACGCTGCCTGCGCAGCTGTGCGACCTGCAGGAGCTGCGCACCATCTGGCTCTCCAGCAACCTGCTGGCCGACTTTCCTCCAGTGCTGCTGCACATGCCCTTCCTGGAGGTGATCGACGTGGATCGCAACACTATCCGGTCCTTCCCCAGCCTGGCTCACCTCCCCGGCCTCAAGCTGGTAATCTATGACCACAACCCCTGCCGGAACGCACCCAAGGTGGCCAAAGGGGTGCGCAGAGTGGGGCGGTGGGCAGAGGAGACCCCCGAGCCGAGGAAGCGCTCTGAGCTCGGCAGAGAGGAGGAGACTGACAGCAAGGAACTGCCACCTCCTGCTGAGAAGCAACCCCAGGCCTGCTAAGGATCAGCCAAGCAGCTCTTGCGGGTGCTAACAATTTGCCATCTGTGCCCATCTCCTCTGGATCTGTGGGAATTGCGCATCTCTGGCTGTTTACAACAAAACTGCCATTTAAATAGAGCGTTTCTTCACTTCCTGGTACCTCGGCTGTTAAATGAATGCACACAATAGTGCCTAGACTGGTCTTCATCACTGTATTTTGAGAGACCTGTATGCGCTCAGCTAGTAGGTGTAAAGCTATTTAAATAGACGTGCCATCAAATTCCTCCCTCTTATCCCGAAAGCCTCCTTACCTAGGGCTAAAGACCAGCATGTCCTTTGTACAATGAGCAGGTGAAAAATACTTTATAAAGCTGACCCGTTGAAGGGACACTACGGATGTGCATCTAGCAAAATCCCTTTTATTCCAAATGCCACCTGAGGAAGCATGACTGAGCTTTTCCTTCCGCGATCACACTGCAGCCTCCCGAGTGAGCACTCGCTGCTGTGCCCGGATGGAGCACAAGAAGTATTTCTCACGCAAGTGGTAAAAGGAGCCTCACAGCTTGTCAAGATCCCCTCTTCTGCCTGGAACGAGGGTGTAGGAAATATCACTGGACTGGCCCCAGCTAACACTGAACATGACTAGACTAGCCAGAGAGAGAATGAGGGTTTTTTGGTTTTGTTTTGCCAGCACTTTATGCAGAGTCATTTCTCCCTTCAGCGGGGTGGCTTTTCAAAGCTGCAAAAGGATTTGCTTTCATTTGGACGCTTTGATTGTAAAACTACAAGAATCGGCAGGGTGACTTGCAGGTGTAAAACCGCAATAGGCCCCAACTCTGTAAACATACCAATGTTCACCTAGAGCTAGCCCTTGCCTTCCACAGGGCTACTCCCTTCCTAATGTTTGTGCAGCTGAGGCCTGTGCTTCTGCCACCACACTTGGAAATTTACTCAATTGCAGGCTGATTGTGCCCCTTTAAATTAAAAGGCACGTTTTGCACAAATGTGCCCTAGGTAACAATAATTGACTCAAAATGGGTGGAAGTGATGTCTACTAAGGAGTCACTTGCCATGACTGTTCTTTTGAATTCATAGTGCCTTTTGTACTCAGCACCAAGCTTGCTATGTTAATGGGAGCGTCACTGGACCTGAACAGCTGCCTGTCTTAATCTCCTTATCAGCACAATATGCAAAAATCATAGTTAACTTTCCATAAAGCAGTTGATTTAGTGATTAATGCCATTTACATTCTTAAAAGAATATTTGGGAAGTAGAGAACCAGTTCGTACTTTCTGTCTTATTAAAGTTAAGTCTGGATTTGGATCTGGCTAGTACCCGCCTAGTGTGCTTCGTATTTATTATACTAACTGTATTAGAGTTGTTCTCAAGTGCCTTTAACAGAGAGCAAGTGCATTGCTCTGGATTATTTTTCTCAAAGGCTTTACCAAATCTTGCTCTGCCAAACTAACAATTATTTCTTTAGTAAATAATGTTTGGATTTTATACGTGAGGATAGATCCATTTGAATGAATGTGAGTCTCTCCTCTTTGGTTTAACTGAGGCTTCTTTCCTTTGCTACAAACATGACATCTTATATCTGGGAAAGAAACAGGAATTCTTTTGTTGTATATATCTGGCTAATGTTGGAATAAGCCCAGGCAGTGCTGATTGTCTACTATAGCATTCTATAGTAGCCCTCTCACTAATGCTGGGCACTGAAGCTGGGATTCACAAGAGTTATTTATAGAAGTTAGAGCCTTCCCTATATTTATGACTCCTATTGAAAATGATCAAAATCACTCAATGTACAAATAGCTGCAGTGGGGCTTTGGGGACATTGATTGTTACTGTGAACACTCCCCAGTCACTGCTGGTGAAAGTAATGTCGGTATTTTGACTCATTTAACCCCTTGAAATGCTGTACAAGTTGAACCTCTAATCGGGCACTTTCTGATCCAGTAACATCCATGGTCTGGAATGATTCTAGTTAGCCAGATGTCCACTTTTCATGGATATAGCCAAGTTTCCTGCAGTCCCATAAAGTTTGTTTACAGCCACCAGTCCTTGTTCTCAGTGTTCTGGGCTATTATTTAGAAGTTATTTGGGGTAAATTAGAGCTAAGAGCCCAGTGAGAAGTGGAAGTATTAATAAAGCTGCCAGACAGTATTGATCTCATGTGGTTTGGCAACTACTTTGGTTCGGCACTGGTCAGGTCCTGATGGAACCAAACTAGACAGGTTCAACCTATATTGTAAATAGACTGGTGGTTTTAATACAAACATCAGCAAATGGGACTTCATATACTCATTTAAAGTTACTGGAACCACAACCTAATTGTCAGTCACTTATTTTTCTATCATATTTTGATATGCTGATAAATTCACACTAAATAAACAAATCAGAAAACTGGACTAAAACCAAGCTTTACAGCTTCAATAGTTACATAAGGGAGCTTTATGCAGAACATTGCACCATTTTTTTCCTATAAAAGTAATTATGGAAGTCCAAAGCTGGTTCTAGGCAGTGACAACGGCAACTTTATCATGTTAGTATTCAGTATACATATTTAAAACATGAATGCACATACACACAACCTTGCACTTCAGCATATTGTTTCATTTCATTATTTTTCTTAGAGTAGGATAAACCAAATCAATGCAGATTTCTAAACAGTGGGAAAAAAAATCTATGTAATGTATATTTATATTACATCAGGCAGAAGTACCAAGCAGGATATGCTGATTTCTCACAGGTTATAAAAGAGATCGAGCTGAGACCTTTCATGAGATCAATTCAGTTTTATATGGAAGAGAGCGATGAAGGCTCCTGCTCTGATAGATATGAAAAGGAAAGCAGCATCAGGCCCTAATGGAATAGAATAGAAATTCCATCATCATCATTAATTTCCATATTTATATTAGACAAGTTTGAGGATTGAAGCTCCATCTTAAGCTAGCTGGTTGGGATTCTACTTTAGTTTTGGTAGCCTGCAGCTATGCAGTGAGAACAAAGGTGTCCAGAAGAGCACGCTGCTACCTTTTGGTACCAGTCTTAAATTTTTATCACATGGCTTACACTTAAAACAGAGTGAGAACTGAACAGACATTACAAACAAAGCAGGTCAACTGTTGAAGTACCTTAGTTTTAAATATCGCAAGCATTATTTTTCTTTCTAGCAGTAATGGATGTACCAGATCTTAACCCCGTGGCAACTCCAAGAGAGCATTCTCCATAGAACTGTGCAGGAAAATATTACTTATGGGGGGGGAGGGGAGAATAAACATTTATCTAGGAAGCAGTTAGAAAATCTGCAGAGTTTGAAAGACCAGACAGCTTATGGTGGAGATAGAATAAGGGGCAGAGTACAAATGCAACAGTCATAAGTGCATGATAAATGCAATTACCACATCAAGGTCATCACACAGAGTGTACTGACAGGCTGTGTCTACACTGGGCCACTTATTCTGGAAAAGCAGCTGCTTTTCCGGAATAAGCTGTGAGCTGTCTACACTGGCCGCTTGCTTTTCCGGAAAAGTAATGATGATCTAATGTAAAATCGTCATTGTTTTTCCGTAAAAACTATGCTGCTCCCATTTGGGCAAAAGTCCTTTTCCGGAAAAACTGTTCTGGAAAAGGGCCAGTGTAGACAGCACAGTAGTCTTTTCCGCAAAAAAGCCCCGATCGTCATTTTTGCGATCGGGGCTTTTTTGCGGAAAAGACTACTGTGCTGTCTACACTGGCCCTTTTCCAGAACAGTTTTTCCGGAAAAGGACTTTTGCCCGAACGGGAGCAGCATAGTTTTTCCGGAAAAACACTGACAATTTTACAGTAGATCATCATTACTTTTCCGGAAAAGCAAACGGCCAGTGTAGACAGCTGGCAAGTTATTCCGGAAACGCGGCTGCTTTGTTTTGAAATACTGTATCTGTAACAGAGTAAGATAGTTCACTCTATTTAAACAATTGTCTTATTGGTCTATCATATCTTTCCAGAGGATGCTGCATTAGAACTCTTAAACTACAGTGCAATATATGTCTCAGAAGACTGGTAAATTTCAGGTAAACATTGCTCTATTTTAAACACCTGTCCCTTAAATGAAGATAACCACCCTGAGCAAAATGATTTTGAACAAGTTCCAAAGTGTCCTTTTCTAGAAAACATCAACATTTGTCTTGTAGCGTTAATCCCACAGGGCATGTGCCTCATGGGGACAATTCTGGGTGGGACTAGCACTGAGACCAGAGACAGACCACAGTACACAGCTCTGGCAGGAGGGGGACATGTCCAGACTGACAGATCCCAAGCTGGGGTAGGGCAAAGTGGGCAGAGCCCCTCTCTGCTCCATTGGCATGCCAGGCAGCCCATGTGCCTCGGGTTCCATCAGGACCTGACCAGTGCCAAACCAAAGTAGTTGCCAAACCACAGGAGGTCAATACTGTCTGGCAGCTTCACCAACACTTCCACTTCTCACTGGGCTCTTAGCTCTAATTTACCCCAAATGTCTTCTAAGTAATAGCCCAGAGCACTGGGCTGCTGAGCAGTAATGGGGGTGGGGAGAAGCAGGACTCCCCATTCTTTTGCTTCCCTCTGCCGGGAACCGGATCCCTCCTGTGCCCCTCCCCCTGCCATTGCCCACTCACTCAAAAGCTGAAGCCCACCTGTTTTACTGTCCTAACCACACACCACTGCTACTCTCACATTATAGCAGCTTCTGAGCAAACCATTGCCTTTCCTCCCTTCTGTGCCAGAGTAGCAGGAAAGCTTCCTTCAGCACCTAAGGCATTTTTGAAGTTCACTGAACAAGATGCTCTAACCTGGTACCTGAGTTCGGAACTGCTAACCGAGTTATCAATCAATAAGGCACAATTTCCTTAGGCTCCTTCCCCTACTGTACAAATTGAAAGTGTCTTTTGTCTAGGCCAAATATTTGTGAAGAAAACCTTAAAAATAGAACTGAGAGCAACCATTCCAATATTGGAGAAACGTAAGAAAACAATGAATAGTCTAGCAGCACCTTAAAAGACTAACATGTAGTTGGTATCAATCTTTCATGGGCACAATCCACTTCAGAACTTGTACAGTAACTGGTGAGCCTCCCAGGTATGTGTATGTGTACTCAGTGCATATAATTTGGAATCTTTTGCCAGTAGTAGAATTAGGTGGTACACGTGCCCATTTTCTTCATGATGTCAGTGTAAGGCATGAAAGAGGCCACAGCTGCCTCCTCTTCCTTCGCATCACTACACATCACAGCTGAAAAATACTGGGAAGGAGGGCCATGGAATATAGCTGCACAACATATAGCTTGAAGAACAACAGTTACTTTACAGGTAAGTAACCATTTCTCTTATTCAGATTCTTGTGCATTTCACTGCAGGTGGCCAATCAGCAGTTCCCTTACAGCTGGGACTTCGGATCATCTGAGCAGAGACTAACACCAAAGTTGACATTGTTATAAGCAGAGATCCTAGTTTCCCATTATAAAAAACAAAACAGGTTTTTGTTTTTTTTTCATAAAATGTGAAACTAAAGGTTCTCCATAAAAACGCAGATTGTTTTTCTGTGGCAAACTTGATTTCTAGGATGTCCCATCATGAGATGGCTGTGACATTCTGCACTCCACATTCACCATAGTGATATTATAATGTAATTATGTTACATTTTGTACAAAATATGCCCTGTGAGGTGTCAGTGGAAAGTTATTATTGCTGAATATGATTAGCCTATGTGTAATATATATCATTTTTGTATCTAGTTATGAACATTGATCTGCATTTAAAATCTGCTTGTTGCTGGTAACTCAGTTACTTTACATGCAGCACATTATGAAGATCTATTCATGGCAATGGCCATTGAGCAAAAACAATTGGCCATGGAAAAAAGCTTAGTTTCACCTGATGAGCCTTAACACTTTAGTCAGTGTGTAAGAACGAACTGCTATGACTCAAAAGCATGAAAGGAGAGGTAATTAGATCATGTGATACTGAACTCTGTTCTTGTGCATGTGTCTTTCCCCACTAATTGTGCTGGGGACTTTGCTTGGGACAATGAAATTCCCTCCATATGGAAGCAATGAAGGCAGTAGTGACATCAATTAGACTCAATCTTCTTATAATTCAACACCTGGAAACACCTCAGGAACAAAGACTGAATGGGGGAAGGAGGTCCCAGATGGGAAAGGAGCCCTGCCTATGTATGGAAGATTGGGCAGATTGCTTGTACCATCAGGGTGAGACATTGCTTGACTGGTTTCACAGAAATAATTTAAAAAGATCTCTTCCTCCAATGCTCAGTCATGCCTAAAAAAAATTATAGTACTACTCGCAATTACGAAAAAAAAGCAGCTTTATAAAATTAAAATTTTCTAGGAGAAAAATACAGATGTTGCCCATGAGAAATCTTGCTGCAACCAACCATTGCATTTTCTGCTTTGGTATTCTGTAAATGTCAGTGCTAAAAGAATAATGATAAAAAAGCTTAACAGCAATAGATTTTTTTCAACATTCAAATTATACCTAGTCTTTTTCTAATTGCCAAAAATGCAGTACACATCTAGTATCTGTTATGAAGCAAAACCCACATCTGGAAATACACAGCCTGCACAGCATGTTTTGAATTACGGTGCACAAAAACATTATTTTCAAGTTAAAAGTAATAATGTAACTCAAACTGGGAGAGGATAGTTATTAGTATTCACTTCCTTTGTCACAATATTAACTTATTTTTCTGCACCCAATGCTGAATAAGTCCACTGCAATCCTCTCTAGATATCAAGATCACGTTTATTCTTTATTAAGCAGAAAACCATCAGCTATGAACTTGAAACTTTATTTCAGTGAACTATAGGGAGAAATACAAAAGGAACTAGGAAAGGAACAGAAGGACTACAGATGTTGCATACAACCCATGTTTTATTTGAATGTAAAATGCCTTTTTTCAAGCACAAAAACTAAATAAGTTAAATCTGCAGTACATGCAATGACAACATACACTATCACTGTCAGCTTCTGTTCCATAACCTTTCAGGAGGTTCTCTTTTCTTTTTCTTTTCTTGTGTGTGTGTTTTGCTTTAAGTATTTGGCGAGATCTGGTCCTCAAGTCTTTATGGGTTGAATAGTTAACATGGGTGATGGTCTGGTACACGTTTCCTGAAAGAAAGTCACATTATTGAAAATGGTATCTTTCCATTGAAGTCTAGCAGACTTTTTTTTAAGTAACAAGTTTTTTCCACATTACTATAAATTCAATGCCAATTATTTCCATGAGCACAAAAGATAAGAATTGCCTTGCTGGGTGAGCCCCTGACCCCTCAAATCCAGTATCTTGTCTGACACTGCCCAGCACTACATGCTTCTTGAGAAGATGCAAGCAATCCAAATGATAAACTGATAGAGATGATCTGTCCAGTAAGACTCTTTTCTTAATAGCTAAACACACAGGTGAAACCCCAAAGCATTAGATTTCATACCCCCTTCTAAAACTTTTAGTATTTATCAATATACTTTTATCAACTGGAGGTTATTTACTAAAATTCCAATTTTTAAATCTTTCCTGCTGGTGGCTATTTTAAAATTCAGTAAGGTATATAAAACAGTTCAAAATTTTCCCTCCACTATGCATTATTCATATTTATAAAAAACATTTATGGCCCATCCACCTAACTTTCGTTATTTTCTTCTGAAGTTTCTTAGAATCCTCTATGGACTTCATTAATCTAAATGTTTGCCTTCTTTGCAAATTTTGCCACCTCCATGTTCATTCCATTTTCCACTTCATTAGCAATCAGCCCATTTAGTAGAGATTTGTGGCACCCCACTATGAACTTTTCCCATGACAATCTGCTACTATTTTCTAACATCTGTTTCTATGAAGTTAAAATTAAGGATGAAATTCACCAATGTGGAATCCATGTGAGCAATGACATGAAGAAATGTGGGTTACACATTTAAGATTGGAGTGCTAGAAGTAAATATAATCTACCAATCAGCTGAAATAGGCAAAGTAATAGAAACAGACAGCAATAAGCAGTAGCAGATTACATTTCGGATATATTTTGGGCATCCAGATCATTTTTAAATCCCTAAAAGCTAAAATTGTAAGAGAATCAAAACTTGCCCTCGCCATTTAAACTGACAAACAACAGATTTTTCCAATGAACTCCATTTAGCTCTATACACTGATCCAATGTTACGTCAACTATGGATATTCATTTTAACTAGATAGTGCTTGAACACTCTAATTTAAACATCACAATGATTTTGGAGAGTCAATTGCTTCTGCTACTGCAATCCTACTGTGGGAACAAATGTTAGAATTGAATAGTTTTATCATCAGGAAAAACAACCACCAAACTTATCTTCTGAGTTCAGAATACCTTGGTGCTGCTTTAATAATGTCATCCACACGAAGAATCATTTCTGCTGCTTCCGCTGCACTCAGCAGAACTTGTCTCTTGACTTGGAAGCTTTCAGTTATTCCCAGGGTAGCCATGTCTCCAATGACACCATCCTTCATATCTTTAAAAAGAAAGATATTTTGCCAGAAGGATGTTTTTAAAAGAAAAAGCTTGCTAATAATCTGCATTATACACAAAGCTGTCTAAAACAAGTTTAGATAAAAACTGCTAATCTCAACCACATATTATCCATGTCATATTCTACAGACATTATGTATTTTAAAAAAAGAGTTTATATTTATTACCTGTATTCCTCCACTTGTAAAGCCAGGTGCTTTAATGACTATAGGTATGTCTACACAGCAGCGTTATTTTGGAATAACTGATGTTATTCCAAAACAACATAATGCGTGTCTAAACTACAAGGCTTTAATTTCAAAATAATGTCGAACTGGAGGACTTCTTACTCCGAATCATGGTAACCCTCATTTTACGAGGCGCAAGGGAAGTCGAAGGAAGAGTGTTCTTCCTTCAACTTCCTGCTGTGTAAACAGCGTCAAAAAGCTGAAATAAACTATTTCAACTTAAGCTACACAATTGCCATAGCTGAAGTGGTGTAGCTTATTCCGACTTCAGCCCTGCTGTGTAGATGTACCCTATGAGTCCAACTATGCAGGGCTAAAAAGGAGATAATGTAAAATATTTCCAGAAGTAACCTAAAATAATTTCCTACATACAGAAATGTCAACTCCAAAATTCACCACCCTGGAACATTCCTGGATAAAGAGAGTATGCTAGGTTCCCTTGGGAAGCTGTGAATATCCCCTTTCCAACAGTATGAAACTTCTATTATTAAATGCCATACTGAGCTGCAATATGGTGTTAAAACTATGAAATTTTAAGTACATACTAGGGATATTAGCTATTGGTTAACTGAAAAGTCATCTAACAGCAAGAATTCTTAGTGGTTAGTCAACTATTCTATAGTCCCTGCGGGCAGGACCAGCAGCAAGTGCAATCCAGTCCCACTCCCAGGGAGCCCCCTGCCACCACATCCTGCTGCCTCCATATCAGAAGCATGGGGTGCAAAGCAGCAGCCAGTCTGTGAGGGAAGCCAGTTTAAAAACCAAGTTTCCTTCATGGACCGGCTGCCAGTATCAGAGGCAACAGCATGGGGTTACTGCAGCCTCTGTCTGTGTGGGGTCCGAGCAACTCATGAACATAGGCTGCTGGAGATGGGGGAAAATGTGGGGAAGGCTGCTACAGCAGCAGCCCGGACTGAGGGGAACCCCCGCTGACAGGGGTTGCTGCCGTGAAGCCATTCAGCCTGTGGCAAGCCAGGGCTCATTAAGGCAGAGGCTGCTTCACAGCAGACTCTCTCACCCCACCCACTGCCACCTCTGATACAGAGGCAGCAAGGGGGGGTAGGGGAAGAGAGAGAGAGAGAGAGAGAGAGAGAGAAATGTGAGTAGTTGACTATATTAGCCGCATATCATTTAATCAACTAGATGACTACTTGTTCACATCCCTAGTACATACAAGCTGTTAGAGCGCTTGCATGTATGAAGCTAATTTGTGGCAAGTTGGGGTGTAAGCCTACCTCACACTACGGATGTTAAATATCTGTTAAATGAATAGTCGATTAACCTCATGAATTCTCATCCGTTACCCGACTATTCTATAGTCCCAAGGGGTGGGGTCAGTGTGCTGTAGCCCCAACTCCTGAGAAGCCCCCTGCCACTCCGCACTGCTGCCTCTGTATCCGAGGCAGCATTGCGGGGGTGGCAGCTGCTCCTGTCTGGGATGGCGGGGGCAGCGCTGAGTTCCCAGACCCAGCACAAGCCAGAATTGAGCCAGGCTGCCTGCTCGCCTGGCTCCTAATATATTCTAAATGCAGAGATGCAGCAGTTCCCAGACCCAGCACGAGCCAGGATTGAGTTGGGCTGCTGGCCAGTCCACTAAAAAAAAATTACTGGGGGAGGGGGAAGGGAAATGTAATCTATAGCATTAACCTATGAGCTTTTTCTTAGTGGTTAACTCGACTACACTATTACATCCCTACCTCACACTAGACTGCCACTAGGGATGTGAATGGTTAATCAGTGAGGGCTGGAACAGCTCCATCCTTGTGGCAGGCAGGGGGCTGTTCCAGTCCTTCAGGGCCCACCACAGCAGCCCCTGTGGTTGCAGGCACTCCAGCTCACCTGCCTTCCCTTTATTCGGTTAACCAATTAAACAGGATTTTACATCCTTAACTGACATCCTAACTGTCCATGGAAACATGCACACTAAAAGTTCCACAGTGCAGACAAATCAACAAAAAACTTCCATCACATCATCATGCTTTCTTTCTATGCATGTGTGTACGTATTTGATATGCAAACACATGCATGAGGATATTAATGGCTAAAATTTTCAGGATACATTTACTAATTCTTTGCACTATTAGCTAACAAGTTGAAGTTACCATTTACGTATTATAGAACAAGTGTAGTCTTCTAATTTATAAATAAGTAGGTAGTAAGTTCTGACTATAACCATCATTCATATTACAACCATGTCAAAGTGGGTTTTTTCAACCTTATGTTACTCATCACTTTCTTTCAAATTCTTTATCTATTTATTAGATTTACCTGGTGTTGCTTGGGTCCTGGAGGACATGTGGAAGGGCCCCTCAGGGCAGGGGTCTCAGGATACATGGGGGGTGCAGGAGTCAGGGTTGGAGTGTGAGGAGGGGCTCAGGGCAGAGGTTTGGAGATGTAGGAGTTAGGGTTAGAGCAGTGTTTCTTAAACTGTGTTCCATGGCACACCGGTGTGCCGTGGAGAAGAGAATTCAAAATGGCCACCCTAAAAGGGGCAGGCGACCTTTTTTTTGGCTAAGTAACTTTCACCTGACCCTTCCCCCCCCCCAATAACTCCCCCCCCCCAACCTTTTTTTTTGAAGGGGGGGGGGGGAAATCAACAAAAAAATCCTTTGTGTTTCAGATTAAAAAAAATTATTGTTTGGTGTTCCTCGGTCCGGGTTAGAGGGTACGAGGGACTCAGGGTAGTGCAATGGGGTGCAGGAGCTGGTGGGGGCCACAGTGCGAACTGAGTTCTGTAGGGTTTTATGACAAGCAATCCCAATCCAGGCACATCCTATTGTCCAGGTAAAAGCAAACCCTTACTTTTCTTTAAGTAATGATAAGAGAAAAGCTGCATACTAAATTTGGTGGTCCTTAGCTCTTACAGTTTAGGAATTCTTGAAAAAAAAAGACGGAGAGAAGCTCAAATATATAGTAGATTTTCACTGCCTAATGCTGCAACTCAGTCCTGATTGAACAACATTAACACTCCCTGATGCAATGTTTATACTTTAACCAGGAAGGTAAGAGAATAGCTTACAGTCATCTCATTTCCAAACAGTCGAAATAAACCATGAATTTATCTTCTAGCATAATAACCACAAAGCACTGGCACAACTACATTTTAAGACAGTATTGGAGAAAGCTAGTATTTTTATTCAGTGTATGAAAACATGATTCACATCTATCCAACTGAATATCTATTGATACAAGTAAGAGTAACTACTTTTCAAGCATAGATGTTAAGATTATACAGTGAAACCTTTGTTATCTGACACTGTTAATCAGAAAACTTTGTTAACCAGCATTGCCCCCAGCCGCAATACTGTCACAGGGGCCCAGGCCTGGCTTGGCTTACCATAATTAGCTTAAATAAAAAATTAAGTACTACTAATCATCTTTAACTCAAAATAGAAATGTGAGACCAACTGCCTCACAGTACAAAACTACCAATATTAAAAATGTGAGTTTTACTATTATTGGCCATTAGTTTTTTTTAGGTTGATGGGACCTTCAGATAACCGGGATTTTTAGATAACTGGAATGCCCTAATCCCCAAATGTGCCAGATAACACAGGTTTTACTGTACTTTACATCCTAATTACTTAAGGCAATACGATCCTGCCCTGACTTTATCACAAAGTTAAGTTTGATCCCAGTAAATCACAACAATGCAAAAACATGCATTCCATGTTATAAAAAGGACAAAAAAATTCAGTACAATACATATGGCTATAAATTTTCTCACCAAGTCCATACGTTGTTTTCCCTTCACTGTGAGCAGCTCTGAGTTGTGACACTAGATCTGCACTGTCATAGCCAGCATTATCAGCTAAAATGGTCGGGATCTAAAATAATAAATATGCATGACACCAGATCAAAAGATGTTTTAATTTCTCAAGCAAATCAGCCTACACAAACTTAAGGTTGCTTATTCACTCTTCAGTTACAAAGACAGTCGTGTATATGTACCTATATCTATATATAAAAAATAAAAGCAGAAGTTATCCAGTTGGAATTATCAACTAATGTTTTTCATTAATGTATCGATATACAAAATTATACTATGTGAACACTGGAAACAAAATATATTTATCTGCAATTAAACGGTTTGCAGTGATTTCCTGTGATCTGTGCAAAATAATTCTATACACTGAGAATACACGTTAATTTGCAGGCCAAAAGGAGATAGCTAGATTGGCTCAAAATATAGCTTAGAAAAGGTCCTCACCTGCAAGCTTAATTGATAGAGATATTAAACACTTAATTATAACTTAATAGGATTTATTAAATGTACATATTTCAGTAAGAAAAAAAATTAGAAAATATAGGCTAGAACATGTATTATGAGGATATCATTCACTCAGGCTTGAGACCTCTGCAGGCAATACTAGAGGGAACATTAACTACGGTATTTTGGTAAGTTTTTTCCAATTTACATGAACTTGAGTACATTTTCTCATTAATCATTTCAAAACTGGTCTTATGGCACTTGTTCCATTTTAGGAATGTAAACTTGCTGATGAGCATTTATCAACATAACATTCTTCTACTCAATGAATCCAAGTGATGCTGCTACAAACTGTGTGTGGCCACTAGAGACAGTATTTTCTAAACTATACATTACCTGACTTTCTGAAAAACATTTTAACGTTTAAAATGTGGTACTGAAATCAGGTTTCCTAACTTTGTGTTCCAATATAAGCCAAGTTAGCATTTAATGAGCATTTTATTCACTTTCCATGGTAGTGTCTCATTTTTAACAAGTTGAAGCACAAGTTTTAAGTTTTTATGTAGGAAAGTTGAGAAAGTGATAGAGAATTTTTACTTTTGAAGCATTACTATAAACTCCCTGAATCAGCCACCTAAATCAGCTGGAAATATTGTGTGCTGCCTCTTCTACTGTTCTTTTCTGCCTTTAGCCTTAGGGCATGTTCACACAGCTAAGAAAAAACCCATAGCTGGCCCATGCCTATGATTCCAGTATGCAGGGCTTGAGCTGCAGGGTTGTTTCATTGCTGTGTAGATTTCCAGGCATGTGTTGGCCAAACAGACCCTGCTATCAAAGTTCCCACATCAGCAGTACAGGAATGCAAGAGCACCCTTAGGGACACTATTTGAAGAAAAACATTAACTTACCATTCTCAAGGCCTTCGCAAAAGACTCCATTGCAACAGATTCTTTGCCTGGTGTTCTGTTGGCAAGCTCTGTGACACCATGAGCCATCAGCATCTCTGAGCAACCTGTATATTAAAAGGATGTAAGCACCTTACGACCTGCCTTGAATGAGAATAAGAACTCACACAGTGCTGAACAGAAAAAAATGCAGAAGATAACTTGAATATTCACCTCCACCATAGACAGTTCGGGTATCTTTCACAGTTTGAGCAAGAACACAGAGAGCATCATGCAAAGATCTTTCAGCTTCATCTATAATCTGCTGGGTTGCTCCACGCAGAACTATGGTGCAAGCTTCACCTAAGAAGGTCAAAAACAGAAAAAACAAAGAGCTAAGAATATACCCAATTACAACAAAAAATAACTGACAATGAAAAACAAAGAGTCTCAAAGCATTTATGTTAGTTTTACATCATCCTGAGGAAGTTTTAAACTACTGGGAAAAAATGCAGTAGTTGGCATTTCAGCGTACAAATGAAAATTTCTAACAAACCTAATTTATAATGTCATTTTCATCCATGCTCTGCTATAGAATAGGTGGTATTTATTGGCAAATTAATTATCTTGCTAGCATCAGATAAACCAGTAATTTAATAAGCTACATATAGATTAGAAATATTGACACTTTCTGGTTAATTAAAGTTAATGAAATCTATTCTAGAAAATTCCTAAAGGGTTGTCACTTGCCTCACCACTGTTTCATTAACCAAAACGGGGATGGAAAGGAGGGGAGACTTAAGTCTTAGGTCCCAATTTTGCAACACATATAAATGTACATAATGTAATATAATAAAATTAAACACACATACATATCTTTGCAGGATCAGGGCCTTAGCGTTGGCCAAGCTTTTAAGACAAAATGAAGCATCTAAAGCAGTGTTTCTTATACTATGTTCCGTGGAACACTGGTGTTCTGTGAAAAACTCGCAGGTGGGCCGTGACCGCCTCTTTGTTTGTGTCTTTTTTTGTCTGAATTTTTTTTTTTTTTGAAGAAAATTTTCATAGTTGTTCTGCATAAAAAAATTATTATTGTTTGGTGTTCCGTGGTCTCAAAAAGTTTAAGAAACACTGATCGAAAGTATCTAACCTTTAACAACCATTTAATGAACAGTTTAAATACAATGGTTAGTGATAAATGAATAAAGTTAATGGTTGCTTAGTGGTAAAACACTTACCCATAGCTACACCAGAGAAGTGAATGAGCTTATCTTCTCCAATCATAACCTCTTCAATGAGCTTACAGCTTCCTAGTTTTACCAGCTCTGGGTGATCAAAGGTTGAGGCAATTTCACCACCTATGAATATAAGTTAATGTTAAAGTACTTTTTTGGTTACAATCTAGGTCAACTTAGAAGATTTGAAGCTTCCTTTAACTAATACTTACACTACAGCTGATTCCCAGAGTCTCTAGTTTCATACCTTTTTTTTTTTTAAAGCTAGACTTTTTTGTAGTTGCAAAGCAAGGCTTTAAAGGGGGCATGTTTTCACTAAATTAAAAAAAGGTGGAGTCTAACTGTAGTTACCTAACATGAGGCAAAATCCTACTGAAAACAAGGCATTTGATAGTTTTTATATACAAGTCAGGAGGTCAAACAATGCTCTCTCAAATCTTTAGTGTGGCCTAATAATTCCCATGAAACAACAAACTCTCTTGTTTCCACCACGATTTTTGCCTTGTTGGACAACTAGTTACCTAACTTGAACTGAGAATAGACCTTTTATCTGTAACACCACCACCAATCTATTAAACAACTGAAACCAATGCCAAATAGTCTGAGTTTACAGAGAGCCTGAAACAATACCCCCACAGTTTAGACTGTTCCCATCCTTTTCTATAGGTACTGAGATACCAATGATGACAAGAATGTTGTTATTTAAAGTATTTCACTACTCAAAGAGTACAAAAACGACTACAAAGTTTCCACCATTTCCCTGAGCATGTGTGGAGTGGTGAAGATGTATACATTAAACATGAAGGACCCTACTGGTTTCATTTTCTGAAGCAGGGACTCAGCTCAAGAGTTTGGGAAATTCAACCTTATACATTCTTCTGTTTCAAAACTCCATGCTTCTGGCACTAAAATATTAAGGGGGCCTAGATGTATATAATGGTTGTTTCATCTCTACAAAGCATTTTGAGATCTACCAATTAAGACTACATTACTTTAAATTTTGAATTAAATCCAATTATTTCATTAAAAAAAGATCTGCTAGATGGAAAAACACATCGAATAACCAACTATTTCTTATTTCACGCTAATGCTTGATTAAAATGAGGGTAGCTCCTTTTAGACTATAGAGTCACTTCACTGATTAACAGCATACTAAATAAGTTATATAGAGCTACAGTATGATCACTGCACACAAACATATGACTTTTAAACAATACAGTCTTAAAAATCATATATGTATTCAGACATTTAATTTATATACTATTATAACAAGATTTCTTACACTCCCCAAAAACCAAACAATACTATACTGAGGCACGTCTTTTCTGCAGCAGATCTATCCCATTTTTCTTTCATTCTCTCTATTTTGGTTACTTAGGCTCCTGAATACATAGTTCTGAAGGTTATTTTAAGTTATTCACAGGTAACCTTTAAAATACAGCCTCTTCCCTGTCAAATCTGAAAAGCCTAAATAAGCATATTTATCAGCATGCAACACTGCAAGGCTCATGAGTTTGTGCCAAATGACAACAGTAAGTTTAAACTTAAAACAGGAAACTTAAGAAAGTTTAGCTCAGTTTCCATCTCTTCTCTGCTCACAATAGTACTATCTGGGATGTCGATAGCTGTCCAATAGCAAATTTTACAGAGGCCAAAAGCCATCAAGAATATAAGCATAGCCATATTTGGTCAGAACAATGGTTCATCTAACTCAGTATCCTGTCTTCTGACAGTAGCCAGGAGAACAGGGCAGAACATGACAGTTATTGAGTGATCCATCCCGTTGTCCAGCCCCAGTTTATTATAAGATTGGCTATCAACATTGTATTTGGTGTGAGATCTCAGGTCAGGTCAAAATTGATCTAGGGTGAAAGACTGGTCTGAGCGGAAAAAACGCAAATATTTTATAATTTTTGGTGTAGTGACACCAAGAGCATAAGGTTTCATCCCTCATGAATGGTAATTACTTTTGGGTGGATTTCACCTTAGAAGAATAATTCTTAGCACTTTGTGTTTAATTCCTGCCCCATCCTCCCACATAAAATATTTGACTCCTCCCACTTTTTACATTGTTTCATTTTAAGAAAAGCAGTTAAAATCAAATTCATTTATGGAATCACACATTAACATGTACCAGAACTATTCAAATGTCAACACCCAAGACATACTACAATGCAAGATTCATCTCTATACCTGTGACGAGTGCCAGACGTTCCACGCCTGCAAAGTCTGCATGTTCAATGGCCATAACACCAGCAGCACCAAACAACTGTTCAGGGTAGTTATAAATCAGTTGCCTATAATTAAAGCACACACATACACATATGCTACAGAAAGACTGCATCTTTCAAAATTGTATCATAGCAACAGAAGTAAACCTACTTCAACATGAACATAATTGAATATTTATATTTAAGACTGCAAAAGCACTCAGCATGCAAGGCACTTCCCAAAGATAGAAAATATCCTTGCACAAAGAGCATACAGCATGAGAAGAGTAAAACAAGTTCTAAGGTTGTAAGTGGAAACTAAAGATGTTAATAAACAAATTGACTACTCAAATAGTCGATATGGGGGTTAGCTCTCAGGGGCGGCGCAAGCTGGGACTAAGTAGTCCCAGCTTACATCACTTCTGGGACCGCTGCGGCTCTACTTCTAAATGTAGTAAGAGCGTACTACATTTAAAAAGCAGAGTCGTAGCAGGGGACCCAGATCTGGCGGCTCTTACTACATTTTAAAAAGCAGAGTTGCAGTGGTCTGGGACCCACTGCAAGCGGTGACTGCTCAGTCACGGCTCACGATGGATCCCCCGCTACACCTCTGCCTCCCTTGTTCCCCTCTCTCTTCCTTACGGAGATGGTGCTGGGGGAAAATGGCTTTTAAGTGCCAGCTCCTGCTCACCCCCCCTTGCTGCCTCTCATACAGGGCTCATCTAGACTATGAGGAATGGTTGAAAGAAAATATTTTTTCTTTCCACCTTTGTCGAAAAGCCACGTAAACCGCCTTTGAGGAACAGCGGCTTTTCGACCGGGGGGGGGGGGTTTCACCCAA